TTCGTATAATTTTACACATTTTATAATTTAGCCTCTCCTTTTATTAGATACATAATTTCATTATAAAATGGTTAAAAATATAAGGATTGAGTTGTAGCGAGTCAAAATATAGGAACTGAGTTACAAATACATTAAAACTATAAATACCAAAAGATTAATTTTTTCTAAAATCATTCAGGTTGTGAATGATTTCACTTTTCTTATTTAAAAAAAATAAATATCAAATTTTACTAGGTGATATGATAGAGAGTGAGGTGAGATGTAATAAAATCGTTCAGAGTAATAATGACTTCTTCAGAATTTTAAACTCATTCACACCTAGAACGATTTTAAGTGCAGTATTTTGGTAAATTCTTTCTCCCATGTAGGATCTTAGTAATTTATTTCAATGTTGGTAGCATTATGATAAATTTGCCCCATGATGATGTTTAAGTAAGCATACCTTTAAATAAACCTTAAGCCTGGTCTGTTTACTAAACCGGTGAGGCCTTGTCAAAGCCTAACGAGACTGCGTCATAGGCCCTAAATAAAAACCTGAATTATTTTCACTTCTAACCTCGCCTATCTACCTTGTTAAGTTCAAATGACTTGGTTTTAATTGTTTTTCATTTCTAATATGTTTCATTACAAATAAAAAAAAACACCACTAATTATATTTTAATATTTAATATTTAATAAATTTTTAAGTTTACCATCATTTAATATATATTATGTGTTGTAAGAATATAATCTACACAATAATAAATAAAAAATAAAATTATATATTTATATAAAAAATTTAATATCATGACTTATAAATATGAAAAAAAAAAATTCTCTATCCACCTGTCAAATAAGACGAGGGGTAAAATGTTTCATCTTTTCTCCATTTTCCGTTTACTTGTGTGCAAGCGTATGGTATATTATACTCATTTGGTACTTAATATAAGACCTATTTAATCAATTCAATTAGATTAAAGAAGTTAGATACGTTAGTTAATTATAAAAAAATATGACATGTTTTTCCTAAAACACCATAATAATCTTTCCTAATATCTTTCCTTCATCACTCACTTGATCATAGTTGAGGGAGTATCTATAAAAATAATTTAAAAAAATTAATAAATATAAAAAATAGATATTATATTTAGGATCAAAATTAATTTAATAATTAGTTCCTATACTAAGAAGTATAAAATAATAAAAAATCTGGTTGCATTTTGAAAGCGGGCAAGGAAAAGGCTACAAGATGGTCAATGAACTTTGCGGACCAACATTTTAGCTTCTATGCATAGCGGCGCCCTTTTCTATTTGGTCCACAACACAAAACAGATAGGCGTTAGCCATCTTCTTCTCATTCATTTCTCCTTACTCCAAATAGGCAAATACAATTCTTTCCCATTTTCTGTGTTATATCAGGATCAACGTCATCCATGGGAGAAGTAGACGCAGCCTTCATCCAAGAACCTCACCACAGACCCGACCCGTCTCTCGTACAAGAGGCCCGAGGCATCCCTCTCATTGACCTCTCTTCCCCCGACGTTGACGCCCTCATCGACGACATTGGCCACGCCTGCAAGCAATGGGGCTTCTTCCAGATCATCAACCACGGCGTTCCGTCGGAGCGCCGACTGAAGCTGGAGGCGGCGGCACGGAAGTTCTTCCATCTGAGCTCCGACGAGAAGAGGAAGGTGAGGAGAGACGCCAGGAAGGTGTTAGGGTATTACGACACAGAACACACCAAGAATGTCAGAGATTGGAAGGAGGTGTTCGATTACACAGTGCAAGAACCCACTCTCGCCGCCGCCTCCATTGATCCTGATGATGATCGAGTGGCTCACTGGGAGAATCAATGGCCTCAAAATCCTCCAGAAATGAGGTAAATTAATTACACATAACACTATGGGTTAGGAGCCTAATGCCCCATGAACCTCGCTCCCAAATGTTCTTTTCCTTTTCACAATTGGATTTTATGTAAAATTTTTTATAAGCGTAAAATTGTATATTTTAAAACTTTTTTATTGTTTCTTTTAAAAATTTATGGTAAAAGTGCATCATTTTTTTTTATGGTGCAATCAACGTTTTAATTTTTTTTTGGGTACGTATAAAACTCTAATCTCATGTTAATTTTAGTGCATCTAACATTTTGAAATTTAAGATGCTGATGTAATTTAAAAAATAATTTTAGAGTGTGTTAAATATACTTAAAAAATAAAATGAGGGTGTTGAATGTATCATATTTACCTAAAAATTTAAAGTATAAAATAGGGCATAATTTTAAAATATTTTTTTCTTTGAAAATCATAGGAAAAAAAAAACTCAAAACTGCATAATGCAGTTTTTTGTGACGTGAACCATGCAGAATGTAACTAAAATAATAATTTCAGAATATTAGATATATATTTGTCCAAAAAATTTAAGGTATAAAATAGTCCTTTACATCAAAATGTTATTCACGCAAAATTTGCCAAAAAGAAAACGCAAAAAAAGATTTGAGAGGTCAGCGCGTTTCAAAGGATACTACAGTTCGCCCATATATATAAGAGCCAGATCTCTAAAAGTAACAAAGTTTTTTTGTGATGCGCACCATGCAGAGAGACGTGTCAAGAATGCAAAGGACATGGTGGAACTAGCCAATAGATTGATGGAGCTAATAATTTCTACGAGCTTAGGCTTACCACCACGGAGGTTCGAAGATTTCTTCAAGGACCATACCAGCTCCACCAGAATCAACCGGTATCCGCCATGTCCGTCCCCTGAGCTTGCTCTCGGGGTGGGCCCACACAAAGATCCTGGGGTCTTACCATCCTTGCCCACGACGAAGTAGGCAGCCTCGAGGTGAAGCGAAAATCGGATGGCCAATGGGTTGGGGTCAAACCAATACCCAACACTTACATCATCAATTTGGGCGATGTTCTTCAAGTGTGGACGAATGGACAATATGAGGGCGTAGATCACAGAGTTATGGTGAATTCGGCAAAGGAGAGATTCTCAATACCGTTCTTTCTAAATCCTTCGCATTACACAACGGTGGAGCCATTGGAAGAACTAACTAACCGACCAAAACCCACCCAAGTACAAGGCTTATAATTGGGGCAAGTTTGCACTGACCAGGAAGCGCAGTAACTTCACGAAGCTGCCGGTTGAAAATATCCAGATTCACCATTTCCAGAACATTCCGACCCATAGTTATTTACGAGATTGCCCTAGAATTTTTGGATGAGGATGAAATAAGGGCGGTGGTCACTTGATGATGATGAATGCAGTTCTTTTGTCTTGTGTTCTTTTTTAACTAGGTCCCATGTGATATGATTAAATAAGCATATTTATGGGCGGAGTAATTTTGTGTTTACATATGGGTGAATAGGAAAATGGCTGATCATGTGTACTGTGAGCTTTTGGATCATTTGAACGGATAGGATTATAGAATGCTGAGAAAATTGCGGCTCAAAGAAACCAACCCGAGTTTTTTTTCTTAACAAAGTCGAGAGTACTAAACGGATAATGTTTTTTATTGCAAATAAATAGAAAAATCAAACCGAGTATTGTACGTGAGAGATGCACACTTGCAGGCCAAGTATATACTTACATAAATGTATTTCGTTTCTCTTTTTTTCTTTTGTCCTTTTTTTTTATAGATCCCATGTGATATATAATTAAATAAATATATTTACTGGCCGAGCAATTTTTTTTATGGATAAAGAAAAATTCCTATAATTAAAACTATAGAAATTTAGTTAGAATCAAATCAAAATTATAGTCAGTCCCCCAAAAAAAAAATCAAAATTATACAAATTGCTTTGTCTGTAATCCCTTCTTGTTTCTTGCTCTAGTTCTGGGCTAGTCTTCTCTTTTAGTTTATTTGGACTTTGTTTAAATTAATCATAAACCAGCCTTATCTATGTAGTATTTTTACTTAGTTTAAATAAATTTTTTTAATAAAAAAAATCAAAGCAAAATTATGGAGACTACGTTTCATTGAGTTGAATTTAAAAACTGAATTGCAACCAAATCAATACTATGAAAACAAGAACAAAAAAAAAAGAATTATTTTCCGTGATAAAATCGTAAACATCATCTCCGTGGGTAGTTGCAAAAGCCCAAGAATTTCAAGTTTCAATTGTGGCAATGGCCAATACTAGTTAAACCAATGGAACCCCAAAACTTAGTTGTGACCCACATGCATAATCCGTTAATCTTCTAATTATGATTATAACATTTTATTACCGAGTCAAAAGATAAGGATGTCAAATGAAAAAAAAAAAAAAAAACCGAGAGCAAATTAAACCGAGTAAGATGTGAGAGAAGGATACTTGGCCCGCAAGAATATATTCCATCTTTTTTTTTTAGGCCAACAGCAAGAGTATATTCTATAATTACAACCTACTTGTGAAATTGATTTTGATCCTAATTATAAAATTTATTTATCATATTTATTAATTTTTTTAAATTATCTTTATTAATACTCTCTCAATCATAATTAAATAGTTGATGGAAAGAGGATATTAAGAAAAACAATTATGATATTTAAAAAATATATTATATTTTTTATAATTAACTATCTTATCTAATTTTTAATATAATCAAATTAGTTAAATAAGCTTATAACTACCACTGGCCGTTTGGTCGAGTGGTATGTATATGTGTGGGGTGTGTGCATGTTGCGGGTTCAATCCCCTCCCCTTGTAACTAAAAAAAGGAAGCCTATAATTGAAAGAATATAGTTAATAAAAAAATTATTTTTATTGATACTCTCTAAACCATAATCAAGTATTAGATAGAAAGAGAATATTAAGAAAAAATTATTATATTTAAAAAAAATGTGTAACATTTCTTATAACGAACTACCTTACCTATTTTTTTAATAGAATTAAATTAGTTACATAAGCTTAGAATTGACAGAATATATTTAATAAAAAATGGAATTTCCTGAGACCTGAACCAACATGTGCTTCCTCAGTTGCTTTGGTCAAAAAAAAAAAAAAAACCAAGATGTGCTTGCAGCTCAAGCATTCGACACAGGTATTTCATGAGTTTCTCCGCCAATCCATGGAACCCCAACCTGTTCTTCTTCTTCCCATATAGCTGTTGACGTTGAAGTGCCCGCCGACCATCTTCGTCTCCGGTACGAATTGGTTCATTGTTTGTTATTCTTTAATTTTCCTTTTTTATTTTTCCGTTTTCGTTGCTCATCACAAACTGTGGGTCGGAAATTGTGGGAGTTTTGGGGTTTCGAATCACCTAATCATTTAGGGTAAAACACAATCTCCTGCTGACATGGTTGCAGTTTGGGGAGGAAGAGAGAGAGAGAGGGGGGGGTTAAGAGTGTGAGTCTCCCAAAATCAGGGGCCGTTAGAAAAATAGCTTTCCTGTAAACGAGATGTTGTTTGATATTTTTAATGACATTTAAAATTTTTGATTTCACTGACTTGTCAAAAATTTAAAAGCAAGCATCTCTACTTTGAGAAGAAATTTGTGAAGACTTTAGAAATGGGAGTTTCTTCTAATATGTTATCTTTCTGTTGTACTTTGAATTCGAATTGAATAGTGGAGGTTGTATTGGTTTTTTTCCCCCTCTGTTTTCATGTGTTTATTTTAGATTATGTAATTTTCTGGGCTCACCATCCATCCATTGTTTGATTTGAAGCAAAGGACAAACTTATATATTCAAAATTCAAATTTGGAGTTAAATTAAGTTTAGGCAACGATATATAATTTAGTCAAGTTATGAACCAGTTTTAGTTTTTGATATTATCCTGATAATTTAGTCTAGCAATAATCATAGGTCATATAAATATTAGAGCATTGATTAATGAGAGCTTGTCAAGATGTGCACGTTATAGCAATCTAATATATTAATCAGATTTGAGGATCTGACTTCTGATCCTCTTGATTGTTTTGTTCTTTTCTTCCTGTTCTAATTGTTTTTTCCCTCTCATGTTATTATAGCTTTACTGCTTTATTGTCTTCTGAATCTGTCAATGCCAAGGGAGAGTGTTTAATCGTCATTTTGCTCGTCAGAAGAAATTACTATAAACTCGCTGAAGAAAATTAAAAAAATTAATTTAAAATATATTAATATTCTCTTAATTTATAAAATTAAGGAATTAAAATAAAAATTTGTTTTAAAATTAAAATATTAGAAACACACCTCTATTAAAAAAGTATATATAAATGATTTGTTGTGCAAGAACTTATAGAGTTTAGGGAAAATTAATTTTTTTGGTCACTATAGTTTTGAGTTGGTTTTAACTTCATCTTATATTTTAGCTTGGTGCCACTTAGTTCATATAGTTTTAATTTTGTTGTAACTGGAGTACTGAATTTTGACGCATTGCAACTCAGTCTCCATATTTTTAACTATAAGGGCTAATTTGCATTGAATCAAAGTTTAAGGATTGAATTATACTTAAGTCAAAATTAAAGAAACTGAGTTATAACTAAGTCATAATTATATGCACCAAAAAATTAATTTTCCCAAACATATATAAATGACTAGGAGTGCAAGATTTTATAGATTTTGATACTCACATTGATTGCTTCTTTTTGGGCAGTGGTTAAAACAACTTTTGGGAAATCCATCCAATCCTCACAAGAGCAGCCTACAATATCATTCTGCGTCTCTTGTTCTTTCGTCCATTTTATTTTTAATTGGTCACGAATTGAGGGACGAAATTTTTGGGAGCTTGAGGATTTTAAATTAGATAATTAAGGGTAAAACACAAGTTCTTGTTGGCATAATTTCCGATTTGGAGAGGAAGAGAAGAGAGAGGATGGTGGGTTTTTTTGGACTGAGAGAGGGTGATGTTTGAAGGTTAAGAGTGCTAGAATCACAAAATAAGTTAGAAAAATTGTTGTCCTGTAAACAAGGTGATATTTGATATTCTTATGATATTTGAATTCTTCAAATTCACTGGCTTGGAAGCAAATATAAAAGTTAATCGCTCTAGTCTAAGAAGAACATTTTGAAAACTTTCTTGCTCTGTGAATTTTTCTGTTGTATATATGGGTTGCCATATATATACGATTTTGTTTTGAGGGGATTTGAGTTAATGTTATATTATTATAAACCTAATTTGCAATCTTGAAGGGGACTTTTGCATGTGTTTGAAGTGGGACTTGATACCAATTGTTTATCCAAGGCTTCTTTATGTAATCTGTGTTATACGTTGAATTTGAGTCGGTGGACTTGCATTTCTATCATCTTTAGTGGATGGACTTTTTCTTTCCAGTATGTTAGTTTATTACTTCTCTTTTTGTTCTGGAGCGGATTAGCTATTTCCATGTCTACAATTCAGATTGAGAAGTATTTTTCAGGGTTCTTCGGTCCTCCATTGTTTTAAGAAAGGGAAAACTTTTATGTTTAATATCCAAATTTCAGGTTATTTTAAGGTTCACGCAGTGAGATATAAGACGGTAAGTTATGAACTGGTTTTAGGCTTGATATTATCCTGACAATGGGATTTTTAAATAATTTAGTCTTGCAACTATGAGTCATATATATAAATTATAGAGTACTAGTTAGTGAGACTTGTCAAGATTTACAGATTAAGCAATCCTATATTTTAATTTGATTTAAAGGTCAGAGTTCTGGTGCTCCTCTTTTTGTTCATTCCTTCCTTTTTTGATTCTTTATTATTATTGTCCTGTGAATATGACAGAGCCAACGTAGAGTGCTAAACAATGATTTTGCTCCTCATAAGAAGTTACTATGAAATAGCTTACAAAATAAATAAAAAATCAACTTAGAGTCAGCTAAATGCTAATCATATCTTTATTGCTCGTTTTGGGGCCTATTTCACTTTGTTACTGAAGCATACTCTTGTTCTTTCTTTCTGTTTTGTGAATAGTAGATTGGAAGAACTGATTTTGGTTCCTTCTGTGGGCTTGTCATCTATTGTGATTTTAGAATAAACGCGGGTTAATTTTATGTCATTTCTCATTCTCGCATTTTATCATACTGTGATTTTAGTTGCCTCAAGGTTGATTCTTTTGACAATCATTCTGATGTTGCCAAGAATACTCACGTAACTTCTCCATGAGTTTTAACCATCTGAATTTGGTTAAATTCACATTTTTACCTATGTCAATTATATTACCAAAAACTTTACTAAGCAACAAAGGTCAATAACTTCTTATATTAAGGATTTGATATTTAATTTAAAAAGAATAATGCTTACAAGCAAACAGTTCCATTTATCGTCATATATATAAGATCTATTTCCTATGTTGATTAATTTTTTTCTGAAATTAACCTTATTGATATTTCCTTAGCAATAATCAAGTAGGAGAAGAAGGGAGGGAATTAAGGAAGATACTTACTGAGTTTTAGGGAAAAAAATATCATATTAACTAATTTAACTAAAATTCTTAATGTGCTCAAATTAGTTAATTAGGTCTTATATTAACTAATTTAAGTAACTTTCTTAATCTATTCAAATTAGTTAATTAGGTCTTATATTAAGAAAGATGAGTATTTTGATAGTTTACTTTACACCATATTCTTGAATCAATTGGCTGCATGGCAGCAAGAAAATGCATGTCAGAATATAGATGATTTGACGGGAGAGAAACAAGATTAGTATAGAGAATTTTTGCCTAATGTTGATTGCTTCTTTTTGGACAGTGGTTACAACAACTTTTGGGAAATCGATCTTCACAACAATCTTCACGGCTAGGTCAAGCAAGCCACTGTGATGGGTATATTTAGATCCTCCTTCTCCTTCTTAACAGGGACAGTCTTTGGGGTATACTTGGCTCAGAACTACCAAGTTCCCAACATCAAGAAGCTTACTGAGACTGCCAAGTTTATGGCCGAAGAGATTGAGGAAAAATATCGCAAGCCCAGGAAGCAGGATGGAGATGACAACAACTCTGTTTAGGGCCTGTAGGAGACAATATTGAAACTAGATTATTGTTTTTGAATAACTGAATACATTTTTTTTTCCAATTTAGATTTGTCAGTTTGACATGAGTTCCCCAATCTTACCATAAGTTCTATGTAATATATTGATAATTTTTGCCCTGGGTTATTTAGGATTAAATATTAAAAGGGTATAGGGAAATAGAAATGGTGAATATATATATATATATATGTATAATTGTTTCTTTTCCTCTCTAGGGAAATATTTGCATCTTCTCATGCCTTGCCTGCTCTATCATGTTCTTTCAGTTGGAAGTTAATGAAATCTAATGTGGCCAAGCTACATCTTATTGTCCTATACCAGAAATTAATTTCACGGTTATCAGATTTTACATACTCATCTATAATATATTTGTTAACCTCATCCAATCTTCAACAACCCCTATGTGTAAAAACTTTCTAGAGTTCTTCCTTCAAAATGTTATTTTTGTTAATTAATATTAAATTGTTGCCCATGGTAGAAATTAGAAAAGAAGATATAGTCTACTTTTCTGTCTATCCAAGAGTAAGTGTTAGAATTCTTTTTCACTTTTGTCTTGTACCTCAATTTTCTTTGTACTCTTAAATATGATTGACTCGCTAATTACACAAGATTATTGCAAAGTCCTCTAATCTACATTAAATTATGAGCATGGAAATCGTAGCTCCTAATCTAAATAAATCTTGACATGCATTTATTTGTCTTGGGTTAAGCCTACTTAAGGAAGTGAGAGGAGAAATATCATATCTTGAATTTGATGAAGTAGTTAGTTTACCCACGCAAAACAGAATGAAAATGTGGGAATATTGTATATCTATTGTGAATATTCTTTATTAGGAATTATTTGCAAATTTACCTTGGAAGTATACGATCAGAAACTATGGGTGTTTGGAAATTTTTGAAGTCTCAATGTTGTTTTGGAATCTTAAAAAAATGTAGCAATATTGCTCTAGCTGTTACCTCAATTAATTTTGGCCGTTAAGTTTGACTAACTTGCTTATGTGGTAGCCACATGGCATGCCACATCATCATCTATCTTTTCCTCTCTTCCACATCAACTTCTTCCTCATCATCCTCCCCGCTCCCTCTTAAATTCAGGATATTCCCCCCTCTTTTTTTGTCCCTCGGTCTCCCTCTCCCTCCAGTCCTTCCAAGTTCCAAAATCCAAGTTGGTGGGTTAATATACATATCTTATTCTATTACCGCACTTTGCGGATTCATTGTATATCTTCTTCTCTATTACTTTCTTAGGATTCTTTCAACAAGGTGGCCAGGAAAGAAGTATCGATTCTCCATAGCTTTTTGATGGGTTAATCTACAACTACAAATACTCAAATCCTCTCGAAGCCATAATATAGCACGTATTATATTTATAATTGATATGGCCGTGTTCGCATATTCATAGAAAATAGAGAGGAAGTTCATGAGTTTGTGAGCTTTTACTTTTTTTTACCTTTTCACTTTTTTTTAATTAGTTGTGTATGTTTCACGTCTGGGTATTGACAATTTGGTATGTTTTAGATGCGAAGTTTGAAAGCTTAGCCTAACTAACGTTGTCTCTTTTCAGTGAAGTGACCACCAAAAATCAACAAGTAGCAAATCAGAATGGGCCGACGGGGCAAGTTGCAACAGTGTTGAAAGTAAAAAAGCAACTAGAAAAAGAAATCTCAAAGTAGCAAAGTAACTAAAAAGACAACCAAAATAGTGGCTAGGAATTAAGAAGACGGTAGATGCTTGCTTGGAGTCCGATGGTGATGAGCTGTAACAGAGTTGAATGATGGCCAGGTGAGTGTTGAGAAGGGGAGAGGGAGTTGAGGGGTGAAGGGATCTCAATATGAAACCTCTCAGCTCTCTACCTTCCATCGAACTCCTCTAAGACCATAACTTAATCGTTTTCCAAATTTCTTACTGCCTCATGGACAACTTAGACCTAGATTTTAGAACTTGGAAGGAATATTTAGTATTTGAGAGGGAGAAGGGAGGATGATGATGAAGGGTGTGACGTGGAACGGAGGAAGGGTAAGATGATGAGGG